TTCATGCTGATGCTTTCTGCTCCTTGCTGTCCCTTCATGCTCCTTGCAGACCCTTTCTATTCCTTGCAGACCATTCCTGCTCCTTGCTGCCCTTTCCTGCTCATTTCTGCCCCTTTCTGCTCCTTCTCCTACTTTACCTTTCTGCTCCTTCTGTCCCTTCCAGCTCATTGCTGACCCTTTCTGCTCCTTGATTTCCCTTCCTGCTCCTTGATTTCCCTTCCTGCTAATTTCTGTTCCTTCTCCTTCTACTTTACCTTCCTGCTCCTTGCTGACCCTTCCTGTATGCTGCCCCCCATTCCTCACTTACCTGATCTGTAGGCTATCCCCCCCACCATGCCTCACTTACCTAATCTGTAGGCTGCACCCCCCAAGCCTCCCTTACTTGATATGTATGCTGCCCCATCCCTTACTTACCTGATCTGTAGGCTGTCTCCCCATCCCTCACTTCCCTGATCTGTAGGCTGTCTCTGCATCCCTCACTTACCTGATCTGTAGGCTGCCCCACCGTGTCTCACTTACCTGATCTGTAGGCTGCCACCCCCCATGCCTCACTTGCCTGATCTGTAGGCTGCCCCCCATCATTCACTTACATGGCCTGTAGGCTGCCCCCCCATGCCTCACTTACCTAATCTGTAGGCTGCCACTCCCCCATCCCTCCCTTACCTGATCTGCCATCCCTATGCCTCACTTACCTGATCTGTAGGCTGCCCCCCATGCCTCACTTACCTGATCTGTGGGCTGCCCCCATCCCTCCCTTACCTGATCTGCAGGCTGCCCCCCCATCCATCTCCCTTACCTGATCTGTAGGCTGCCCCCCATCCCTGCCTTATCTGATCTGTAGGCTGCCCTCAATCCCTCCCTTATCTGATTTGTAGGCTGCCCCCCCATGCCTCACCTACCTGATCTGTAGGTTGCCTCCTCACTTACCTGATCTGTAGGCTGCCCCCCATCTCTCACCTGATCTGTAGGCTGCCCCCCATCCCTCACTAACCTGATCTTTAGTTTGCCTCTGCAGTATGGGAGTTGCTGGCTGCATGTGCTGCTCCCCTGCGGTTTCAGTCAGGAGAGAGAAGCAGGGATAAGATGCAGCTTCCTATCCCTGCTTCTCTCCACACACAGTGCCACCTACTGGCTGGGGGGGGGGCAAGTGCCCCTCTTATCCCCCCGCAGACGCCCATGCCCCAACCCTTACAGCCCACACACACTGTCACCCCCTTGACCAAGCCACACTCACATTAATCCCTCCTAATCCTGTCACTCTCACCCCCTCAAACCATACCAAACTTACCTGCCCTTGCTTTTCCACACGTACTCTATCACATTAACCCCCAACCCTGTCAGACTCACATTCTGACAGGTAAGTCTCAAGATTCACTTGTCAGAGCAGTCTGATTGGTTGGCTCAAGCATTAGATGGCAATAGCTCCCCCACCTCATACTATTACTTAGGACCCCTACCCACCGTGATTGGCTGGAGGCTGGAGGGGGTAAAAAGTACCCACTGCATTATCATTTAGGGCACGCACCTGTCGCCAGTGAAGGGGGGGACAACCTGCCTCTACCCTGTCACAGCCCCCCTATCCTGTCACAGTCCCCTACACTGTTAAAAAAAAAAATGCTTTCACAGCCCCCCCTACCCTGTCACAGCTCCCCTCCACCCTGTTACAGCCTACCTACCCTGTCACAACCCGACCGTGGGGTATCCATAACCCGCAGTTGTGTATAACCGAATAGCATAATTGCTAATTACATTTGTTTACTGCAAATTAATTTAGTTTGCAAATTATGCCATAACTACAGTCAGAGAGCTCAAAACGCAGCCGCACAGGGAGCCACAACACTGCAAGCCTCTGAGCAATGAATACAGAGACTAGCTCTCTGTATCCAGCGCTACAAGCTGATCCTTCAATACAACTGCAGCACCTTATACACACAATGCAACTCCTATTTTTTTTTTTACTTTGGGTGTTAGTGGGTGCCTCATGTTTGAGTTTTGCCTAAGGCCTCATGAAGTCTAGAGCCTCCACTGCCCCCAATTATCATTTAGGGCCCACCTGTTGCCATTGGGTGAGGTCTGGGGGACAATAGGTTCCCACACCTTATCATTTAGGGCCCCCACACACTGTTATTGGGTGGGGGCTGAGGGGAGACAATAAGCTCACTTGTGGGGCATGGTGGGGGTTTCACTTGTCAGAGCAGTCTGATTGGTTGGCTCAACCCCTAGTTATCTATTTTAATAGGTGTCCCACCATGGGGCATGAAGGACCTGAAGGAACTGTGTCAGGTCCCCCTTTATTGGATTAACAACTGGGCAGCAATAGCTGCCCAGTCGCTATTCTTTTTTTACAACTGTAAACAGCCACTGACTGCTTTGTAGACATCCCCCACTCATGGCACATAGGGGCAGGAGGGATGATTTAACTTCCCTTATTTACTAATACTAATTATTTTTTACTTAGTAAAGTTGGCTGAGAGACCCCAATTAAGAAAAAAAATGGCTTTTGTAATTTTGGTGTTTCAGTCTTTTAGTAGATAGCTCCATAATCCTAGTGGGATTGCCATAAGGATACCAAAAAGGAGCTATCTACTAAACAGCTCCCTAATTTAGTACCCTAAATATAGCAATCCCACAAGACTACCAATTTAGGGAGTTATCTCCTAGATGCAGCCATGGCAGAATTGGACTGGTCCAGATGAAATTCCGAAACAAAAATAATGACCGAATCTCGTGTAAAAACAAATGGATGAAATTCGGTTTGGACAAAACAAACATTTTGGCTCCGCCCAAGTCTCCATTACAGAATGTTCAGAAAGTTCGAAATGAGGCAACACAAGAATACAGAGGAATGGGGAGCATTGTGGGAAAGCTCTCCTAGACACTGGAAGTGGAATTTACTTACTTAAGCTCCACCCTGAGTCTAAGAAAAGTCAAGCGTAGGAAAAATATACAAGATAAAGTAGTCTATACTTTTGTTTTTTGTTAGAAATAGATGAAAAAGCAAAAAAAAAAGACAGAGTAGGAAAGAGGAAGAAAAGAGGAAGTGATTGGCATGACAGTGCTGCTTTAAAGTACTTGAGGGCTTAAACATTTGCCCTGCTCCATGCTGGTACTGCGTGCTTCCTGAAACTGAGATTCATAAGCCGGATGCCACCTGAGGGACCTGAGGATCAGTGCTGAAGGCACACTTCTCGCACAGTTTAACCCCTTATGGTAAGAGTGCGGCCAGGGTCCTCCTGGCAACATATCAACTTAATTTAGATTAAGTTGTTGCAATGCTTAAACTGTCCCTTTAAGTATTCTTGCAACGTAGGTTCTGGTTCACCTTTTGTGTTGTGTACAAAAATAGTCATAAATTTTAGGTGACTTACTCATAACAAATTTGCACCTAAACATAATTTAGAACAAAATAACGTATCTTATTTTCACAGACTGGTACAAAACAGGTATTTCTGACCATATAGTGTTAACACCACCCAGGGCCAGCCTTATGCCTTTGGGCGCCCTGTGCAAAAAATCTTCACAGCGCCTCCCCCTTCCCCCACAATCTGTCACACACACACGCAGACAGCCACACGCACGCACAGACATAGAAACATAGAATGTGATGGCAGATAAGAACCATTCGGCCCATCTGGTCTGCCCAGACAGTCACACATTAGCAGTCACACAGACACGCAGACAGCCACACACAAACACACACACGCAGAGAGCCACACACACACAGGCAGAGAGCCACACACAAACACACAGGCAGAGAGCCACACACAGGCAGACAGCCACACACAAACTCACAGACAGACAGCCACACACAAACACACAGGCAGACAGCCACACACAGGCAAACAGCCACACACAGACAGCCACACACAAACACACACGCAGACAGCCACACACAAACACAGAGGCAGACAGCCACACACAGACAGCCACACACAAATACACAGGCAGACAACCAACACACAGAAAGCCACACACACACACAGAGGCAGACAGCAACACACAAACACACAGGCAGACAGCTACACACAAACACACAGACAGCCACACACACACACACAGGCAGACATAGAAACATAGAATGTGATGGCAGATAAGAACCATTCGGCCCATCTAGTCTGCCCAGACAGTCACACATAGGCAGTCACACACACACACACACACAAATGTCTGCCTGTGTGTGTGACTGTCTGCCCTTTTTGTGTGTGTGACTGTTTGTGTGTTTGACTGCCTGTGTGTGTGACTGTCTGTGTTTGATGGTCTGTTTGCCTATGTGTATGATCGTCTGCCTGTGTGTCTGACTGTGTCTGTGTGTATGACTGTCTGCATGTGACTTGGTAGCATCAATAATGAGGCATGAGGGACTGTGAGTGGGGTCCTTTGCAGGGTGTCTAAGGTCCTGTTGAGGCACAACATGAAACAGTATTGTTGGGTAGGTCGGGGTACTTGGCCTGCTTCTTCCATTGGTCGTAGTGCTTGATTTGCGGGAGGAGGCCTTGGCTATCATGGAAGAGACGCGGGGGTGGTGTGGGACGATACCTGTGTCAATGGGTACTGGCTGAGTATGTTTTGTTTCCTCGTCAGCATGCTCAAAGGAATTTGCCGGGGTTCTGTCTTTCATTATTCTATTACTGGGGTTGTGTCCTGGAAGGTACTCTGCTCTTGCAGTGGGTTGGTGTGGTGTCAGTGTTATGCACAGCATCAGTAGCAAATTTCTGCTACTGGGGGTGGAGGCAAGACCCGTGGCCTTCCTGGCATGACAAGGCTGATGGAAGGAAGGGGCCCATTCTCCTCCCCCTCTTCCTAGCGTTTGGCCAGGGAAGGGCGGGGTGAATCCTCCTTGTCGGCCTCTCATGAGGGCCCATGCCTGCGGGGTGCAGCATGTGGGTTGACCGTGAAGGCTCTGGCCATAGGGGGAGCCCAAGGTCTTCGCAGATGCTTACGCGCGGTGCAGCTGCCCGGGGACAGCCTTGTATCTGAGGCTGTGTGCAAGGTTGCCGTGGCTATGCTGGTTCGATGGCTCGGTTGATGCTGCCTATGGTTGGTTGGGTTTTGACCGGGGGCTGGGGCAGGGTCTGATGTATGGTTGGTCTTTCTAGAGGAGGTGTGGCATATGCTGTACTGAGTGTGGCGTTGGTGTAGAACAATGCATCCATTGTTGGACCCTCTCTCATCAATTCAGGGTGGCGGTGGTGGGACTCGTATTGGTTATGCATCTCTGGTCCCCACTGAGCATCCGTGTCGGACATCATGGATTAGGGTGTCCGGGGGCCGGGCCGAATGCCCTTATGGCTACAGTGGCTTAGCAGGTGGCGTTCTGCCTTTGCCTGTAAACCCGGAGGGGCGTCACTTGTTAGGTTTCTTCCACAGGTCTTGTTTAGAGATCCCGATTCATTTACTTGTTCCTAATTCGAGTGATGCATTCCCTTCTTGCACTGGGTGGTCAGGGAGGAAGTGGGGATCAGTCTGAGGTCCAATATTGAGATAAATGTCAGGCGCATACACAGCTGATTCTTAGCTCTGTCTTTCTTGTGGTATGGGTGGCTAGATAGTGTGGGGGTCTCCTACATGTTTTGGTTTCTGGGACTTGAAACTGGCACTCCGGGTAGTGTCGGCTACCCTGTATATGCGGAGGGGGTTGGCGGAGTGGTGTCTGTGGTGCGATGGGCTTTCAGGGTGACTTTGCTATGGCTGCAGTTACTCATGGACATGCTCAAGTTGGGGGTCTTTGGTGAAGGCCTGTTGTTGGCACCAAACTGGGGGGTGGGTTCTCCTCACCATCTTTGGGAGGAAGTTGGCGTTGACAGGTGGAGGTGTGGAGCATGTTCCTGCTGCATTCGAGGGTGTGGTGTTGGTTCGGAGAGCTTGGGTTTCGTCCATTGTGCTGGGTCTTTGCCGTGATGCTACGGGAAACGTGGGTCTTGGGTCGCACTGGAAGGTGTGGTGGTGTGCAGAGGCATGGCTGGTGGATGGGTTGGATGGCCCTCCTTTCCGTGACTTCACCTTCTGGAACTCTTTATGATGGTGGAGGCTTGCGCACTTTGGGACTTTGGGTGCTTTTTCGTATGTACAGTCTGTCAAGGGTGCATACGGTGTGTGCTGTATTGGCCTTGGCCGTTCGGTGGGGGGCTGCTGACGGGGTTTGCCTTGCTATGTATGTCGCTCAACTTGGTTAGTGTGCGGTTTGTCCCCAGGATTGCATGCCGTGGAATACGCGTGGTCACATTGCTGTGGTCCCGTTTTCGACTGGCGGAACCCAGGATGTGGGATGGGGGTCAGGCTAGATCTGAGGAGATGGGGCTGCTATGGAAGTTTGCATGGGGGGTAGTGGGAGCATTTGGGGTCATTGACGGTATAGTGTGGGGACGTTTCTGTTTCTGTGCTTTCTTCTGGTACGCTTCCGGGCTGTTGGGAGATGGGAATTCCCTGGCAGTGGGCGCTCAGCACTTCAGTGTTCTTGCATGTTGGTTCCACTTATAGGGGTGGGATGACTCTGCTACATATTTTGTGATAAGACCGACTCTTATGGTGTTTTGGAAGTGTTGCGCTGTTCCTGACAGGGTTGGGGGGGCTTGATGCGGATTTGCCGCATGTTTGCTTTGGCAGCTACGACTCCTTTCGTCCGGGTTGGTTTTTTAGGGTCACTAGTCACTCCATCCCTCTCTCTGTCACTAGTCACAAAGGGTTCTTGGCACTTTTTGTGCGCTTTCGGATGGTGGAGCTCATTGGCGCTAATCCGGTGGGGCATGGGGACATTGATTTTGGCAATGTTTGTCTGCCAGCGGAGGGATCGGTCATTTCCTGGCCTGGGCTCAAACCGAGGTCTTTTGGAAGTGGTAAAATATCTGGTTCTATGCTCTTCCGGGGTGCCGTTGGGGCCTGGTTGCTACAGCAGTTTCGGGACAAGTGGCTGGCGGCTGTGGGCTGCAAGTTTAGTGCATTGGGGAGTACTCATGTATCCGCTGTCTGTTTTCCAGGGTTTTTCGTTCCTCTTTGGCAGAGGGTGTGGTTGCATCATTGTCTCCTGGGGGTCTGCTCTTTCCGCTTCCACAAGCATGTTAGGCTGCTGGTATAAGGGAGTGTGGGCAACAGATTAATGGAGCAATCGTATGACTTGTGTGGAGGAAGAACATCAGTCTGGCTTTTACTAAACACCTCCCTAACCTCCCAATACTGTACGGGAATTTCTGGGGTCAGAGACGTAGCAGCAGGTAAGGCAACAATGCCCACTTTTTTAGTAATGTGAAACATGCAGTTTTCCTGACAGTCTTTACCCCATTCCAGTATTTCCCCTTTAGTCCAGTCAATATGAGAGGTATGCTTGATGAACCAAGGGAAACCTAATACCATGGGACAAGAAGGGGAAGCGATTATCTGGAAGGTAATATCTTCCTTATGCAAAGCTCCTATCGGAATGCATGGGTAATCAATGGTTGAGATAGGGGTCTCCCATCAATAGCCTCAACCGCTAGAGGTGATGATCTCCTTGACTGGTATAGTGTGTTTCTTAACAAAATATAAATCAATAAAGTTACCAGCCGCACCTGAGTCAACCAGGGCTTTGCATGAAAAGTTCTTCTCATTGCAAAAGGCGGAAATGTCAAGGACAACTCTGGTTTGGGAATTGCTTGAGGACATATCCATTACACCTAAGACCTGTCACCTTTTTCCGGACATATAGCACAAGCATCTCTCATGTGTCCTTTTATGCCACAATATAAGCAAAGACCCTCTTTTCTCCTATACTGTTTCTCTGCCTCAGACAGTCCAGTAACCCCTAACTGCATTGGTTCGGGTTCAGACAGCATCGAAAGGCCAGAGACCACAGGTTTGGAGAATCAAGGTGCTAGTGACATAGTCAAACGTCTAGTTCTGTTTCTAGCAATTTCCCTGGTCCTGAGTCTATTATCGATCTGCATCACATAAGTAATAAAGTCATTTAACCCCTTAGGGGCATCAATTACGTCAAGAATATTCTCGGAAAATCCTTTTTTAAAAGCAGCAGTTAATCCGTTATTAGTCTAGTCTACCGCGGATGCCAAAGTAAGAAATTCTATGGCATAATCTGAGATAGACCGGTTCCCTTGTTCCCTATGTTATTTGGTATTATTTAAGATCTATACAGACACAGACAGATCCATATAGACACACATTCTCTGAAACACACACATAAACCCCCTTACCTTAATTTCACATATCAGTTTGCTGTTCATGTGCTTCAGGCAACTTCAGTGCGCCTGGCTGGCTGGCAGCACTTCAGTCTCCATGTCTTAGCCCCAATGCTATGCTCCCGCCCCTTGCCCTGTATTTTGGGAGAAATGGGCAGGAGCATAGCACTGGGGATAAGACATGGAGACTGAAGTGCTGCCAGCCAGCACAAGGAGCAATCGAATAATACGCCCTTGCGCTACCGCCGCAAAGGATGTCGGGGGGAGGGGAGGTGTCAGGCATTGCAGGCAGAGGTGGATGCAGCCAGACCTGTGTTCTATTGGGCGCTAGTCAACAGCCATGTAAGTGCTACTGTAACATGGCCTGGAGGGCGCTCTATATAATCAATCCAGCTTGATAGAGTGGCCGCCAAATGAGCAGTAAAGCCACTGCCTGCAACCCCCTTAAGCAACACCCTAGGCGGCCATCTACTTGGCCTATAGGAAGTGCCAGCACTAAATGTGATAGCCTGTCACTTCATCCCAGTTTCATGCAGAGGGCGCCGGGAAGGAGGGAGAAGAGGCAGCCGCACAGACAGCATGAGGGGAGAGAAGCACTCCAGGAGATGCTCCAGACCATTCACTTCTATCAGCCAGCAGCAGGACAAGAACCACAAGCAAACTATCCTCCTGCAAACTACCCTCCTGGACACAAAGTTACCAGCCGGACTGAAAGCAGGGGCGGACTGAGAGCCTTTGGGGCCCCCGGGCAAAATTAGATCCCAGGTCCTTTGAAGGCCAAATATATGTGCATTAAATAAATGTTAAAGGATCACTATAGTGTCAGGAAAACAAAGTGGTTTTCCTGACACTATAGTGCCCTAAGGGTGCCCCCAGCCTCAGGGTCCCCCTCCCGTGGCCCCTTCAGCAGCTTACCTTTATCCAGCACTGGGCTCCCTTGGCGCTGGTGACCTCTCCTCCCCCGCCGACGTCAGCTCCTGAGTGGAGCAGAATGCGCATGCACGGCAAGTGCCGAGTGCGCATTCAAACAGTCCATAGGAAAGCATTTCTCAATGATTTCCTATAGACGTTCTGCACGTTGGATGAGAATTTCGCATCCAGCGTCACAGATGTGCCGCTAGCAGCTGTCAGGAAGACAGCCACTAGGGGTTGGATTAACCCTGCTAAGTAAACATAGCAGTTTCTGTGAAACTGCTATGTTTACATCTGAAGGGATAAAACCTGAGGGACCTGACACCCAGACCACTTCATTGAGCTGAAGTGGTCTGAGTGACTATAGTGTCCCTTTAAATATAACTCTCATATAATACGGCATTCCTTTGGATGTGTATATTGTGAATACCTGTGTATCAATGCATGTTTGTATTTGAATCCGTGTGAATGCAATGAAAGTGTGTGAGGAGAGGGTGACAGGTGGAAGAGTGTGGGAGGTGGTGACAGGTGGCAGAGTAAGGGGATACCTGGTGGCAGAGTGAGTGAGGGAGGGAGGGGGTGAGTGATGGCAGAGTGAGGGGCAGACAGTAAGGGGGGGGTGACTAGTGATAGAGGGAGGGAGGGGTGGAAGTGACTAGTGACAGAGGGAGGGAAGGCGTGACTAGTGGCAGAGTGAGGGAGGGAAGGGATGACTAGTGACAGATTGAGGGGATGACTGGTGACAGAGTAAGGGGATGACTGGTGGCAGAGTGAGGGGGTGACTAGGGACAGAGTGAGGGAGGGAGGGGGTCACTAGTGACAGAGTGAGGGAGGGGTGACTGTCACTAGTCACTCCCTCCCTCACTCTGTCCCTAGTCACCACCTCACTCTGTCCCTAGTCACCCCCTCCCTCACTCTGTCACTAGTCACCCCTTCCCTCCCTCTGTCACTAGTCACCCCTTCCTTCCCTAACTCTGTCACTAGTGACCCCTTCCCTCACTCTGTCACTAGTCACACCCTCCTTCTCTCTGTCACTAGTCACCCCCTCTCTCTGTCACTAGTCGCCCCCTCCCTCTGTCACTATTCACCACCTCCCTCCCCCTGTCACTAGTCGTCGCCACCTCCCTCACTCTGTCACTAGTCGCCACCTCCCACACACTGTCACTAGAGTGAGGGGGTGACTAGTGACAGAGTGAGGGAGGGGATGACTAGTGACAGAGAGAGGGAGGGGGTTATGAGGGACAAAGGGAGGGAGGGGGTTATGAGGGACAGAGTAAGGGGGTGACTAGTGACAGAGGGGGTGACTAGTGACAGAGTGAGGGAGGGGGCGACACAGGGACAGAGTTAGGGAGGGAGTGACTAGTGACAGAGGGAGGGAGGGGGTGACTAGTGACAGAGTGAGGGCGTGACTAGTGACAGAGGGAGGGAGGGGGTGACTAGTGACAGAGGGAGGGGGTGACTAGTGATGGGGGGTTGGGTGGAAATGACTCCCTTTCTCTCTACTCCGTCTGGTCTCCAAGGCTGCTGCTCCTTCCCCTGCTGATCAGGCTCTCCCATCACACAGAGCCGCGTGGGACAGGAAGCAGGAGTCCTGGCAGAGAGGAGGTGAAGCTGCCAGGTCTCATTAAGTGGGAGGGAGGAGGGTGTTTTAATATGCTGAGCAGTAGGTTGCTGGGGCCCTGCGCTCCATCAGGGGCCCCAGCAACCTATTAATGAAAGAGATTCTTTTTTAAATTTTGCTGTTCCAGTTGGAGAGATCTCTGATCTCTCCAGCTGGAGCTTGGCTGTGCGGCCGGGCCCCTGGCTTTCTCGGGCCCTCAGTCTATGACCGATATGCAAAGTGGTAATTCTGCCCCTGGCTACCAGGAGGGTGGCTGCAGACATAAGAGATTTGTGTGTATGAGTCACTGTATTTATATGTATCTGTGTATTAGTGTGTAAGGATATCTGTGTAACTTTGTATGTATGTATGTGGTAGTGTATGTGTGTATGTGCATATATTCAAGCAATCAAACACCAGCACAATATGCAAACACAATCCTGAACTCTAATACAAATATTACATTCAAACACACAACTGCATTTAACCCCTTAAGGACACATGACATGTGTGACATGTCATAATTCCCTTTTATTCCAGAAGTTTGGTCCTTAAGGGGTTAAACTCCAAAATTATATACAAACACATCCCTTCACTCAATCACTAATACTACAGGTACACTGAAATGTCAATCCGCATTTAGAATCTAACATTACATCCAAACACACCCCTGCAATAAAACGCAAACATTACATACAAACACACCCCTGAATTAAAACACTAAAATTATATACTAGTACCACATCAATCAAACACCAACACTATACATTATACTATAGCACAGTATATGCCACAGCGCTGTACAGATATACAACCTAAAACTTTGTTTTGACTTGCAGGGACTTTGAAAAATATTGTAATTTTAAGTGTGCCTTGAACCTAAAAAGTCTGCAACCGCAGGGTGAAACGACACTATTACGAACTATAGCCTCACATATGTTTATGAACAACATAGTCCTGATTTTCAGCCAGCCTGAAGTATAGCTTCATATGAAATGTGGCACAAAATTCTGGGATGTAACTGTGTGTAATCATTTGTAGCCTCTTCAGCAGAATATTAAACCTGCTCCATGGATATACTGTATAGCCCTTCTCCATAGCATTTACCTTCCTCCTTATATTACAATAAACTTGTCCCCATACAGTACATATTCTCCTGTCCTATTGAATGTATACTAGAGAGATGACGTCATAGATTCGAGGATACAGGTTCACTGTACAGCAAGGCACACGGTGTATTGATTACACTGAGTATAACTTGGCCTCTGACAGCAAACCTGTCTCCCTGTAACTTTCAGTTTCATTTCTCCGGAGTTTCAATGATCGTGTGGGAGGGAATTAAACAGGAAGATGCAGTAAAGGGAGTGGGAGCAGATCTGGTTGCTGGGGTGAAGCAAGGTGCAAGCTAGATGGCTACATAAAGGGGTGCAAGTTTGGGAAAAGAGCAAGAGCAAGGTAGGGTACAGAGCAGGCTGAGTAGACAGATTTAGGAAGCAGATGAAAGAGAGACCTTGACAACAAAGAAAAACAGAGCTGACTGGAAACACAGTGAGGAGGGAACGCAGACAGAACACAGAGATAAGAACAAGCATTAGAGGAGAAACTTTGGACAAATTATGTATTTTAATACCAGTACAGAAATACAGCCAGCATTACAGAGACATAGCTTAATATAGAAACAAGGCAAACACTGAGAGACATAGACTACTGCAGAAACACAGCAAACGTACAGGAAAAAAAGCCATCACACAAAGATTGATACAGAAAGTTAGTGAGTATACTGTCGGTTGCCATGTCTGCCTATGAGGGCCTGTCTTCCCGTCTGAGGACGGCACTGTGTGTATCAGGGGGCAGTATGGATCTGGATGTACTTGGGCGAACTTTGGGACTTAACTCTGAGCAGCTGACAAGGTTGGTGGAGGAGGAAGAGGGGCGCAGCATTAGGATCAGGGAGCAGGAGGGCAAGCGAGTGGCTGTGTATCAAAGTGAGCTGCGAGTGTGCTCTGAGCGTACAAGAAAATGTGCTGGGGACTGCGGGAAACTGCACCTCTGCCGCTATTTCATCATGGGGAGCTGTACCAGGTAAGCCAGGAAACCCTGTGCCAGAGTTATTCCCTAAAATGGAAATTGTCAGGAATTCAAGTAATTATTCCCAAATCTGCTATGTTGGCCTAAAAATTCAATTTGCAGCTCAGACATTTCACACTTTAGTGAATAATTCTTTATGTTAGCCAATTATGGTTAATTTTCATATTTTTGTAGTTAAAGGACCACTATAGTCACCCAGACCACTTCAGCTCAATGAAGTAGTCTGGGTGCCAGGTCCCTCAGGTTTTAACCCTTCAGATGTAAACGCTATGTTTACATTGCAGGGTTAATTAAGCCTCTAGTGGCTGTCTTCCTGACAGCCGCTATAGGCGACGCTGATTGTGCAAATCTCATTCAGCGTGCAGAACGTCCATAGGAAAGCATTGTTTTTAATGCCCGCACGGCTCTGGTCGCACATGCGCATTTCGCTCCACTCAGGAGCCGACGTCGGAGTGGGAGGAGAGGTCACCAGCACAGAGGGAGCCCAGCGCTGGATAAAGGTAAGTAGCTGAAGGGTGCCCTGAGTGTGGGGGGGACCTAAGGGTTATATAGTGTCAGGAAAACTAGTTTGTTTTCCTGACACTATAGTGATCCTTTAAAGCCACTATAGAGCAAGAAGCACTTAGAGCAAGGTTTATTTAAAGTGGCACTGTCACCTTCTGGGGACTTTGCATCCAGAGATCCCTATTCCCTTGCAGCCATCACTGGTCACGGATAGGGGATTGACACTTCTTGACGACGGTAGCTACGCCCAGTGTCTAGAAGTGTCAATGGTAGGGGAAATACTGAGACAAAGTCCTTACTTTGTTTCAGTATATCTTTTGAATTGAATTGAAATATCAGTGAAATTGCTGGGTAATAAAAAATAACTGCAAAAAAGGGTACCAAAATACTACTAATAGCCAGAATGGAACCAGGATCCTCTGTCCTCTTGGTAGATAAGGCTAATATAAATGGGAGTATCTTGCATCAGGTGATCACTACAGTCTCCCCGTCACCACCCAAAAAACCTGTGCAGACAATCACATGATGACCTTATATTAAAGGGACACTGTAGGCACCAAGACCACTTCAGCTCATTGAAGTGGTCTGAGTGCTGTGTCCCAGAGAAACTGCAATGTTTACATTGCAGCTCTAAGTCTGACCTCAGTGACTGTCTACCAGACAGCCACTAGAGGGCTTCCGGAATCCAAACAGACTTTTGGTCTGTAATCTGACGCTGGACGTCCTTACACCCTGCATGAGGACCTCCAGCATCAGATTTTTCCCTTAGGAAAGCATTGAATAATGCTGTCCCATGGGGAGGTCTAATGCAAGCGCGGCTATTGGTATAAGGTCTCCCACGACGGCTGACGTTCAACTGTTATCAGCCTTTCAATACCATCAAATATTTGGACGAAACTGAAACTACTAACATAGAAGTGGAATTTCCCCATTAGCAATACCATAAGCTGGGCCTTGGCTGGAATTGCCTATGGGACCCTCTGTTTGGTCATATCTCTTGAAAAACGGAGTGGCACAAAACTGAGGAAGAGAGTTTGCAACCTATGACTACCATAACCACTATAATGGCATGTGGCATGTAATAGTTCTGACATATTATGCTTAGACTGTTCCTTTAATTAGTAATTTTATCCTGGCCCTCAGTATAGTTAGATTCTTCATTTCTATGTGTTCTGTTTATTTTTATTTATTTACTTTCTTATTCAAATTTAAGGCCAAAATAGCTGAATTGATAAAATTCTCCAAGTCAGCCAAACTTCCAGTTTGGTTATTTTGGGCTAAAATTTGAAATTCACTTGGAATTCACCATTTCAGACAAGTCTTCAGTAAATAAACCTGTTGGTATATAACTGGATTGGATTTTCATTAATTTCAGCTCTTATACCCAATTCTCAAAATTCATCTGTACATTCAGAGCCACTAAAGTGCATAATATATATGTTAAAATTAGCTAAATATGTTAACTAATTTGAGTATAATATTTGCATCATTTCTTTCCAGTATGCCTTTATTTGTTTGTGATTATTTACTTGTATGTATTAATAATAATTTGAAAAAAAAAATGTTTCCAATACTAATTTTTTTATATGGTATTACTTTGGAATGTCCACTTCTTATTTACTGTGTGTTTTTTTTAAATTTTTTTATTTAAAGTAGTGACAGATTTAATGCTTTGTTACCATCGAAATGGAAAGTAAATAAAAAAAAAACCAAAAACTGCTTTTAGCTTTTGCTCGTTGACGAGACACTACATTTAATTTAAAGTTTTAATCTTTAACAAAAGTATTAATTAAAATAAAGATGCATTTTGCAGTGGTTTATAAACAGTATCCTTGTTTTGTCCTTTGGATCTCAATACATTCACCGATTCGTGACCCTACATTGTGAAGCCTGTGGCTCTTTTTATAACATATACTTTTTATAATCAGTATAAAGATGACATTTTACGTTGACTGCAAGATCACAGCCAATAAGGGTTAAAATGTCTGCAGACATCATCAGCATTAATTCCCTGTATTGTCCCTGTTTGATGAGTCACATGTGCTAATTTCACTGTCGCGTTTTACACAAATCCCATATAAGGAACCTAGTTAGTTTAGTTTCATGTCTATCAATTACCCGTAGCAATGTGATAATGACATTATCAGTGCAGAAAGCGTAGAGGGCAGTGTGCCTACATCCCTGAAACATAAAGGCTCCAAAACAGGCAGATATGCAAAACCCAAAGCATTTTTTTTTTTTTTTAATCTTGGCTTCTCTTTAAGTATCTCTTAAGTATTTCTTTCCTGGGAATAACTGTGTTGATGTTGTCATTGGTCACAGTAGCCTCATTGGAAATGCCGTTGTTCTCTGGTGTTCTTCAGGTCCCCATGTAAATTTAATCACAGTGTTCAGACACCTCACAACTTTCAAGTTCTACGGCAGCATCAGCTGGAAGCACTGGGCACGAAGGTATTACAACAGCTTCTGTTACAGAATGACCCAAGTCTGCTGCCTGATGTAAGTATGAGATGTGGATCGTAGGTAATGTGAAGGTACTTTCAATGAAATTGTAAAGAGACAGTATTGTTTCATGATTAGAATGTGTACAGTGGATCTGTCACCTTTTGGAATCTAATAAAGGCCTTTTCATTTTTATATATAAAAAAAAAACAGCCATTATAAAAAACTAAAAAAAAACTAATAATTTTTCATTTCTTTTGAATGTTTATGTAAATGTTTTAGGATATACAAATAATTAGAGCGATCGGTATTCCATTTTATCTGAGGATACCCGAGGATGACTAGATGATATGCTGAAATGATTTGACGTTGTCCTGTGGAATAAGTTCTCCATAAGTAGTTTCTTGATCTATAATTATCCTATCATTACTGCTTTATTTCTCAAAAATAGTGTTATGCTTCCTGGATCTGGTGTCCCACTGTCTAACAAAACTTGATTGACAGACTGGGATAGTAGGTGAAGAGGACCCTGCCCCAACAAATTTACCATCTAAAATGATAAGGGAGAAATACACAAAGCAAATGAAGTAGTGCATTACAATTGTATATATGTATGTGTGGGTATATATATTATTATTACTGGTATTTATAAAGCTTTAACTTATTCTGCAGCACTATACAATTAGCATATAACATACACGTACATACCATTTGTGGGTTTTGCTTTTGTAGAGGAGAGGCTTCTTGTAGGGTGTGTGTGGATGGGGTTGTTTGCAGTGGATTATATAAGTCGGGCTTGCTGTTTCTTATGCAATGTGTGTGAATGTGGATAGGACTGTAGTGTGTATGTGCATATGGATATAGGCTGTAGTATGTGTATGTGTTGGGGGGAGGGTAAAGGCTGTAGAGTGCATATGGGAGCTGTATGGTGTTTGAGAGGAGGATATGGGATGTAGTGTGAGGAGGATAAAGGGGCTATAGTATGTTTCTGCATGTGTGATCAGGATAGGGGCTGTCGGATGTGGGCAGGTGACATAGGCTGAAATGTATAAAGGAGAGTTACTATAAACGTCCACTCACTGTAAAGCGCTGCGGAATATTTTATTTATAAATATTATAAATAATAACATAATAAATAAAAAACATTACTAATTATGAAATTAAAGTTCATTCCCCTTTCCCTCTTGCTTACCTTGTGCCAGGGAGTGAGGAATGATTATCCCTGGTTGTACATTAGGTGGATCATGAGATCTACATCACTGGTGGGTGCAGACTACTCTTTTGCGCCATCCATTCAGGTGCTACATTAAGTATCAGAGCATTGTTGTGGTCTGCACAGCCTAAGAAGTAGACTATAAGCTCCCTGGGCCCAAGCATGTATTTCCAACGCTATAGTGTTATGTAATTTTAGATTCACTGCCCTCCCCACCCGATTAACAAAAAAATACTTTACTAACCTTTCTTCCACAGCATTCTGGTCTCACCGTGGTGATCACAGCCAATCCAATGCTTCCCCATAGAGAAGCAGTAGTGCTTCTGGTACCTGTAGTACACTGTAATGCATCATCTATAGATTACATTAAAGGTACACTATAGGCATCCAGACCACTTCGTCTCAATGAAGTGGTTTGGGTGTAGTGCCCTGTTCCTTTAGCCCTGCAATGAAAATATTACAGTTTTAGAGAAACGGTCTGCATGAAGACATCCAGCTTCTCGAAAAATCCCATAGGAAAACATTGAAGCAATGCTTTCCTATTGAAAAGGCTCAATGCGCATATGGCTCTCGCCACGCATGCGCATTAGAAACATAGAAACATAGAATGTGACGGCAGATAAGAACCATTCGGCCCATCTAGTCTGCCCAATTTTCTAAATACTTTCATTAGTCCCTAGTCTTATCTTATAGTTAGGATAGCCTTATGCCTATCCCACGCATGCTTAAACTCCTTTACTGTGTTAACCTCTACCACTTCAGCTGGAAGGCTATTCCATGCATCCACTACCCTCTCAGTAAAGTAATACTTCCTGATATTATTTTTAAACCTTTGTCCCTCTAATTTAAGACTATGTCCTCTTGTTGTGGTAGTTTTTCTTCTTTTAAATATAGTCTCCTCCTTTACTGTGTTGATTCCCTTTATGTATTTAAATGTTTCTATCATATCCCCTGTCGTCTTTCCTCAAGCTATACATGTTAAGATCCTTTAACCTTTCCTGGTAAGTTTTATCCCGCAATCCATGAACCAGTTTAGTAGCCCTTCTCTGAACCCTCTCTAAAGGTATCAATATCCTTCTGAAGATACGGTCTCCAGTACTGTGTACAATACTCCAAGTGAGGTCTCACCAGTGTTCTGTACAATGGCATGAGCACTCCCCTCTTTCTTCTGCTAATACCTCTCACTATACAACCAAGCATTCTGCTAGCATTTCCTGCTGCTCTATTACATTGTCTGCCTACCTTTAAGTCATCAGAAATAATCACCCCTAAATCCCTTTCCTCATATGTTGAGGTTAGGACTCTCAAATATTCTGTACTCTGCCCTTGGGTTTTTACGTCCAAGATGCATTATCTTACACTTATCCACATTAAATGTCAGTTGCCACAATTCTGACCATTTTTCTAGTTTACCTAAATCATTTGTCATTTGGCTTATCCCTCCTGGAACATCAACCCTGTTACATATCTTAGTATCATCAGCAAAAGACATACCTTACCATCAAGACCTTCTGCAATATCACTAATAAAATATTAAAGAGAATGGGTCCAAGTACAGATCCCTGAGGTACCCCACTGGTGACAAGTCCAAGCTTCGAATATATTCCATTAACTACAACCCTCTGTTGCCTGTCACTCAGCCACTGCCTTACCCATTCAACAATATTTGAATCAAAACTTAAAGATTGCAGTTTATTGATAAACCTTCTATGTGCAACAGTGTCAAAAGCCTTACTGAAATCTAAGTAAGCAATGTCTACTGCACCACCCTGATCTATAATTTTAGTTACCCAATCAAAAAAATCAATAAGATTTGTTTGGCATGATCTCCCTGAAGTAAACACATGTTGTCTCTGATCTTGAAATCCATGTGTTTTTAGATGTTCATCAATCCTATCCTTTAACATGGTTTCCATCACTTTCCCCACTACTGAAGTAAGGCTTACTGGCCTATAGTTGCCGACTCCTCCCTATTACCTTTCTTGTAAATGGGCACAACATTCGCTAACTTCCAATCTTCTGGGACTACTCCTGTTAACAATGATTGGTTAAATAAATCTGTTAATGGTTTTGCTAGTACACCACTAAGCTCTTTTAATAGCTTTTGGGTGTATTCCATCAGGTCCCATTGACTTATTTGTCTTTACTTTTGACAGTTGAAATAGAACCTCTTCCTCTGTAAACTCACGTGTAATAAATGACTCATTTATCCTTTTTCTCAACTGAGGTCCTTTCCTTCATTTTCTACTGTAAATACAGAACAAAAATATTCATTGAGGCAGTCAGCCTGACCTTTATCCTCTTCTACATACCTTCCTTCTTTTGTTTTAATCTAACTAATCCTTGTTTTACTTTTCTTTTCTCATTTATGTATCTAAAAAATGTTTTATCCCCATTTTTTACTGACTGTGCTATTTTCTCTTCTGTGTGTGATTTGGAAGCTCTTATAACTTGCTTAGCCTCTTTCTGCCTAATCTTATAGATCATTTTGTCTCCCTCACTCTGGGTTTTTTTATAATTCCTAAATGCTAACTTTTTTGTTTTTAACTATTTTGGCCACATCTGCGGAGTACCACAGTGGTTTCTTGAATTTTTTGCTTTTACTGACAAGCCTAATGCAATTTTCTGTTGCCTTCAATAGTGCAACTTTTAAATAATCCCATTTCTCTTGGACTCATTTAAATTGCTCCAGTCTGATAATGACTCCTCTACCCATATTCTAATTTTAGAAAAGTCTGTTTTCCTAAAGTCTAAAACTTTTGTTTTTGTGTGGTGTGACTCAGTCACTGTTCTTATATTAAACCACACTGACTGATGATCACTGGATCTTAAACTTTCACCTACAGTAACATCTGATACCAAATCTCCATTTGTTAACACTAAATCTAGTATGGCCTCTTTACGAGTTGGCTCCTCAACAACTTGCTTTAGAGACAACTCCAGTAGGGAGTTTAGAATATGTGTGCTCCTGGCACAAGTAGCTAATTTTGTTTTCCAATTTACATCAGGAAGATTAAAGTCACCCATGATGATAACTTCCCCTTCATTGTCATTTTAGCTATTTCCTCAACTAGTAGATTATCTAACTCTTCAATTTGTCCAGGGGGCCTATAAATCACACCTACACGAGTTACTGTGCGATTACCAAATTCTAACGTAGCCCAAACGGACTCTATGTTTGCCTCACTAACTTTTATTAGGCTCGATTTTATGCTATCCTTCACATACAAGGCCACCCCTCCCCCTTTCTTGCCTTCCCTATCTTTCCTATATAAAGAGTACCCTGGTATTGCTACGTCCCAGTCATTTTTCTCATTGTACCATGTCTCAGCAACAGCGACTAAATCTACACTATCAGTTGCCATTATTGCCACAAGTTCATGGATCTTATTCCCTAAACTGCGAGCATTTGTAGACATGACTCTAAGCTTATCATTTTTTAAAACACTTGCTACAGGCACCTTCTGTCCTTGTTTTGGGGGACAATTGGATTGATGTTTTATCACCCTTTTGCCCCCCCCTCCTAGTTTAAATACATCCTAGCAAAACCTCTGAACTGCTCACTGAGAACATTTGTTCCCTTTTGAGAAAGATGCAAACCATCTCTTTTGTACAGCTTATCTCCATTCCAAACAGAGCTACCATGAGAAATAAAGCCAAATCCTTGCTCCCGACACCATTCACCAAGCCACAAATTAAAGTCCCTAATACGCATCCGCCTGTCGTTCTGAGTGTTATGCACAGGCAGAACTTCAGAGAATGACAGTGTGGAAGCAACCTGCCGTATATCATTGGCAAAACACTAAAAACTTCCTTAACCTCTGAAACCTCATTGCAAGCCAAGTCATTTGTCCCTAGATGGACAAGTACATCCAATTCCCCTTCCTGCTTTGCTTGCTTAACAATATTACAGATACGTCTCCTGTCTCTGTGAGCAGTAGCTCCAGGAAGACACCTCACAAGACCACCATTGTCCATCGCCACACCTCTTATAATGGAATCACCCAACAACAACTGCTTTCTATTAGGCTTCACCATACTCTCCAAGCCGGTCTCCACAACACCACTAGCCTCAGTGCCTCTCTCCACAACACCACTAGCCTCAGTGCCTCTCTCCACAACACCACTAGTCTTAGTGCCTCTCCTCACAACACCACTAGCCTCAGTGCCTCTCTCCACAACACCACTAGCCTCAGTGCCTCTCTCTGCAACACCACTAGTCTTAGTGCCTCTATCCACAACACCACTAGCCTCAGTGCCTCTCTCCACAACACCACTAGCCTCAGTGCCTCTCTCCACAACACCATTGCACTCTGAAAGTGCAGAAAATGAATTATGAAGAGCAACAGACTGTGCAAAATGCCTTTTATCCACAACTCTAAGTCTACCAGATTCTACAGTAATCCATCTGCCATTCCTAGTATGTCTCTGCGGCAGTGGCTTTGCAGCAGTTCCAGTCTGAGTTTGTTTACCAGATAATTTACAAATCTCAGACTTCAAAAATACAATCTCCTGCCGCAAGATAGAGAACTGTCTACAGATTAGACAACAACCAAACCTCCAAAAAGTGAAACGTGAAACAAATGCATAGCAATTGTTACACTGAACTAAACCTGCCATTCCAATTATAAGAATAATATAAATCGAACAAATCTTAACTTTTGTATTTATCCTCCTGAATACCTCAGATTACCTCCAGGTTATCTCCAGAATATCTCCAACGACACACTTAGAAACAGCACTCTCCAGAATATCTCCAACTACACACTTAGAAACAGCACTCTCCAGAATATCTCCAACTACACACTTAGAAACAGCACTCTCCAGAATATCTCCAACTACACACTTAGAAACAGCACTTGGAAGTAGCACCAAGCTATATTAGACAAGCTAATGGAACCAGGCCTTATATAACTCCTAAAATCACCGCCCACTAGGAATGATTAACCCCTTAAGGACTGGACTGTTTTTGCGATGTTGTACATTTGCGACCAGGAATATTTTTACACTTTTGTGGTGTTTGTGTTTGGCTGTAATTTTCCGCTTTCTCATTTACTGTTCCCATACAAATTATATATTGTTTTTTCAGGACAAAATGGGCTTTCTTTACATACCATTATTTATATAATCTCATGTATTTTAATTTAAAAAAAATACAAAAATCTGATGAAAAATTGAAAAAAATACATGTTTTTTGACTTTTACTTGAAAAATCTTTTACTCATCTACAAAAGCGAATGAAAAAAACTGCTAAATAGATTCAAAATTTTGTCCTGAGTTTAAAAATACCCAGTGTTTACGTGCTTTTTTTTGCATGTTATAGGGCTATAGGTACAAGTAGGATATTGCGGTTTCAAAACATACATTTTTAAAATTTATCAATAGTGACATTGTAACACTATTATCTGTCATAAATCTCTGAATAACACCCCACATGTACATATTTTTTTTAAAGTAGACAACCCAGGGTATTCAATATGGGGTATGTCCAGTCTTTTTAGTAGCCACTTAGTCGAAAACACTGGCCAAAGTAAGCATTCATATTTGTTTGTGTGAAAAAAGTAAAAAACTAAATTGAGCTAATTTTGGCCAGTGTTTGTGTTTCAAGTAGTTACTAAAAGGTTTAGTTCTCTATTCTTCTAACAGGTTGTCTTCTTTTGCAAATGGTATGCCATCATGGAGGTAATTCTCATTCCTGGGCTACCATACGCTCTCAAAGGCAACGTAACCAACCTGGCCATTTTCAATGTAAAAATATTTGACCCATATATTTGACCTTGTAACTTTCAAAAATGCTATAAAACCTGTACATGGGGGGTACTGTTTTACTCGGGGAGACATCGCTGAACACAAATATTAGTGTTTAAAAACTGGAAAACGTATCACAACAATTATATCATCAGTTAAAGTGCTGTTTGTGTGTGAAAAATGCAAAAAAAGTCACTTTCACTGACAATATCATCACTGTGATATGTTTTACTGTTTTGAATCACTAATATTTGTGTTCAGCGAAGTCTCCTGAGTAAAACAGTACCCCCATGTACAGGTTTTAGGG